GGCGCGCGTACTTGTGCCCCGCCCCTGCCGGCCCCGCGCTGTTCGGCCCCTCGCAGTTTGGCTCCTCACTGGCCGAGCCCCCCTCACCCTTAAGGCAGCCCAGCTCACTTGTGGGCCCCCCTCACCCGTGGGCCCGTCTCACCCACAGCTCACACACTGGGCACCCCAGCTCACCCGTGGGCTCTCCTCATCTATGGGGTGTCCCCAGCTCACCCACAGGGTTCCCACTCACCTTCAGGGAACCCGCAAGCTCATGTATGGGGCCCCATGCTTGCTGGCAGGGTGGGCTCTGGCCCCAGTTCTCCTCAGGACTCACATGGCCACACACACATGCCTACAGCTGAGGGCAGCTGCTGACCTTCAGCTCTTGGGGGATGAGCTGTTTAGCCCCCAGTGGGCCAAATTAGGCCTCTGGTAACCTGCAGAGACCCCCATGGTGACCAGGGTTGGGGGTGAGGACAGTGGGAATATTCTTGTTGTCTGAGACTCACAAACCATCTCTGTGCCCTAAGAATGCCCCAGTCTAGGAAGGCACAGGGTGAGGGCTGGGGAGCTGAGTACCCAGCACGAGGGGTCACTGCAGTGTCAGGTGGGGAGCCTGTCTTAAGGCAGACCTGAGACCACCTACTTCAGCCTAGGCACTGTCTCCCGGCGTGTGCCATACCAGGGCCTGGACATGGGCTCACACACCTGCTGTGCAAGTGGGCAGGCTCGGATGCCTCTGGAGGGACCCCTGCCCCTGCACCCAGCCCCAGCAAGGGGCATCCTCAGCTGGTGGGTGATGGGTGATGCGTGTCCGCAGACTCCCACCGCCATGTTCAGTGCTGGCCTCCCTCAGCTAGGCGGGCCCTGTGGCCGGGCCGGCCCTTTGGGTGTGTTGACCACTCAGGATCGTCCCTGCCCTGTCCACCAGTCCTTAGAGGTTTCGCACCCCTCCCCCGCCGCCCAGCGGGCGCACTGAACCCAACCTGGCCTTATATGGCCATGTTCGGGTGTGGGGTGGCGGGCCGTGGCCCAGGTGGGCCTCATGCCACAGTACCCCCCCGCCAGCCCCGCCGGGGACTGGCTGGCTGACTTGAGGGTGGGGGCTGCCCAGGCATGGCTGCAACGGGCAGCGTCCAGGGCACTGCGGACACTCAGGTCATGCCCAGTAAGGCCCCCACCCGGTGGCCGGTGACTGGCAGCCGGCGGCCTGGACTCTGATTCCTGTTTTATCTGCTTGGACTCCCCAATCCCTGCACCTGCCTGTCCTCTGGCCACTTGGCCAGGGAGGCTCTGGAAGCCACTGTTCTGGCCTGGTCATTGGCTGAAGCCTGAGATGGAGCAGTGGATGGCAGTGGACAATCGGGCCTGCCTCGGTGCCGAGGGTCCTCGGAGGGGCCAAACCCTGCTCTGTGCCCCTTGGCTGAGGCCTTGGGGCTGCATGGTGAGGGCCCCGGCAGCAGTAAGGAGGTGGGAGCTTAAATGCTTTCCAAGGGCAAGGGCCTCTGTGGCTTTGGGGGGTGTGCTGTTCCTGAATTGTGCTGGCTTCTCCTCCAGGCCTGGACTTGAAGGTGGAGCTGTTTCAGACGCCCCCCTCCTTGGCGGGTGTTCAGGCTGAGTGTGGACCTTCAGGCTGGTGAAGCAGCGCAGAGACAGTTCGTTCGGTGGTTTTTCGAAAGCCGTTTTCCCCATGGTGTCACAGTTTCTAGAATCGACACATTTCTAGACGCAAATCATATTTTTAAAGTTCCCCTTTTCCCAAAGTTTCACAATCTTGGTGAGTTTGTCTTAAACTTTTTTTTTTTTTCAAATTTGGAAAAAGATAGAATTCGGCTTTCTTCGTTTCCGTTTTATTTCTCACAGTGGGAACATGAGAGGTACAGAACGACATACCTTTTACAAATAACTTTGGAAGACGTTGTTTCAGGGTCTTCTGAGAAGTTCCACGTTTGAACTTTTCTGAGGATGGTCTCTGAGCCGCCAGCCCTGAAGGCCCCTCCCTGGTCCCCTGGGCCCGGCCGGGGTGTCCTAGGCGCCTTGCCTCCAGCAGGATGGCACAGCCTCAGGGCCCACCTGCCTCTGTGTTGTGAAGGGTCTGCGGTGTGTGTGATTCAGCGGGGAGGCGCGTGGCAGGCAGGATGGCTATGGTGCTGTGCCTGTACGCTGGCTGACCTCAGCCTCTGGCCAGGCTGCAGGGGACCCCCTCCCATCTAGGCCCTCCAGCAGCAACAGCCATTGTGTGGCCAGGGCCGAGGTGGACATGTGGGAGCCTGGCCCGGGCTCTGTGAGGTGAGGATTTGGGCCAGCAGCCCCATTTACGTCTTGTCTTGGGCCCCACTCCTGGAAGGGAAAATAAATCACTGTCCCCTCTGGGGGGAGGAGGGAGCCGTGAACAAAGTTGCCTTTGGCTGAGCCTGGAAACATGACCGCAGGCTCCTTCTCCATTGTGCGGGGATCATGGGCCTCCAGCTCCTGCCAGCACCACAGCCCCAACCCGGAGATGTGGGTTTTCCCCAGCAGTGGCCTCAGCCCCAGCATTGCCGGCCCAGCTCAAGCACTGCTGACGGTGCTGGGGGAGGCGGGGTATGGCCCCACAGGCCAAATCCTGGCTCCTGGCCACCCCCTGGCCATGTGTCCTTCGACATTGGCCTCCTTGTTCCTCATCTGGTGTCTGCAGTCCAGGTATGTCCAGGTGGCAGCTCTGTGAGCAAGATCAGCATGTGGAAGGGAAGCGTGCCTGGGCCTCTGTCCCCAGACTCCATAGACGCCCCATCCAGGGCTGCCACCCTACCTGCCCATCACCTGCTCTTCTGAGTGGTGGACGTTGGGTGCCCCTGGCTCCTCTTGGGTCCCAAGGAGAGTTGGAGCTGCTGTCCTGGGCTCCCTCAGGTGGGGCTGCAGCGCAGCGTCCATGGTCCGGGATGTCTGGAGGAAGGTAGGGGAGAGACATGGGCTCATGAGGCCAGGATGGGCCTGGAAGGAGAGGTGGGTGCTGGTCAAGGGAGGAAAGACCTTCAGCTGGGGGGATGTTGTGGGCAGCTCACCTTGGCCAGGGTGGACACGTAGGGGACACGGGTGTAGCTGAGGTGGGCCCTTGAGTGGGGAAGGGCTAGGGCTGGGCCCAGAGGCTGGTGGGTGAGGGGTGCAGGGAGGAGGGGCTGGGGGCTTTTCTACCTGAGCATTGCGGCCAGCCTGCCTCCTCCAGTGAGGAGTGCTGGGGCCTCCATCCACACCCTGGGCCCTCACCAAGTGGCTGGGGGCAGGGCCTGGAGGCTGGCGGACGTCAGGGGAGGGCTGCACACACCGCACCCCACATAGACGGGCCCCACTCTGGGGAGAACCAGCCCAGGGTGGGGGCTTCCAGCAGCTACCCCTGAAGTGCTGGATCCGCTCCGGCCCCCGGGCGGCTGGAACCCCCGGGCTTCCCATCTTGGCAGGAAATACGATTGCTTTTCTTCCTGCTGGGGAGTTTATTTCGTGAGAGATTTACACAAGCTGTGTGCTGTCTGAGTGGCTGAGGAGTGGACAGCGGGGCCTGGGGCAGCAGGCAGGAGGAGGGACCCCACTGGCTCCCTTGACTCTGCCCCAGAAAAGCCAGGGCCTGCGAGCGCACTCCTCTCCTGAGGCCACCGCCGGCGGCTTCCGGGCTGCCCTCTGCCCTCCTGCAGCAGCCTGTCGGGCTCTGGGGAGGACTGTGGGGCTGGCTCTGGAGCTCAGCACAGCACAGCGTGTGCCCCTGGAGGGCTGGGGAGGCCAGTCTGGGCCAGTTGGCTGGCTCGGGCCTCATGCCCTCAGGCCTGTCCTCGAGAAGCCCTGGGGCCCAGGGTCGGAGGCCCTGGTGGAGCAGGGAGAGCAGGTGTGGGCGGGGGCTCTCTGGCCTGGAGGTTCCTGGTGGCTGGGCTGCTGGCTGTGTTGGGTGGTCTGCATGTTCTGCTGAAACGTCCATGGGTTCCAGGCTCAGGGGCATCCCCCTCTCACTTTTGAGGCGACTCTGGTACCTGGATCAGGGCCCTCAGGGTGGGGCCCTTGGGTGGTCTGGGCCCCGTGACGAGTTCCACGTCCTCCGGGCCTAGCGCTGGCATGTGGACGAGGGCTTTCTCGGTTCTTTGGCAGCTAGGAGCAGGGCTCGGCCTCTCTGGGGAGTCCTGCAGGGACCCCAGTTCTGCAAGTGATGTTTGTGGGGTCGGGGGTGGGTGGCAGGCGTGGGGAGGGTCAGCGTTGACCCTGGTGGACCTAGTGAGACCTGAACGTGGAATAGGGGTGGCGTGGTGTTCAGCTAGGCCCCTGGATGGGTCTGTGGTAGTGGGTCTGGGTGCTGCCCAGTCACTGTCCCCTGTTGGGAGTTCACGTGGGGCCGCTAGGGGAGCGGCACCCCTGCTTGGGCCCTGGGATGGTGAGGAGGAGCCCTGAACTGGGGGTCCACTGAAGGTCCGTGTGGGGTTTCCTGGGAAGAGAACAGACCTGGAGGCCCCCCACCTGCCTGCTCACCTGGTGCTCAGGCCAGGCAGCGGGTGGAGGGGACGCGCCAGTCAGCTTGCTTGGTGGGTCGGGCTGTCCCTCTGTCACGCCCAGAATGTCCTGGTTTCTGGAGCAACCACCTGTCCTGCGGGTCCTACCAGTTCCACCGCAGGTCCTGTGGGTCCAGCCCCCAGGGGCCGCCCTGGGCCGGCTGGCCTCGGAGCTGGTGTTATGCACATGCACGTGTGTGTAGTGTGTGTGCCCGGGGCTCAGCGCTGGGCCAGTCTGCATCCTCCGCCCCATGGCAGCCCTGTGATGGTCCTCACCTGTGCCCCTCTGGGGGCATTCCTGCCCTCCCCCCAGACCTTGCCTTCCTGGAGGGTGCTGGCCCCAGGCCACGGCATCTGGGCCTTCCCAGCTCACCCCCTGTGCCCGGCCCTTTCACCCCAAAGAGAGCACCCACCTTCCCCTCCCAGCTCAGCTCCCTAGCCCAGGCCTGGCGGGTGCCCTTTGAGCCCCTCCCCATGCTACTCACTCAGCCCCACCACCCCGCAGGACGGTGGCCCCTGGCCTGGTGCTCTCACCCTAGAGCCAGTCCCAACATGGTTAACCTAATGCCCACCAACCCCCCCCCGGAGTAATGTCTGGGGTTTTGCAGGCTCCCTGGGGACAGAGCAGCCCCGATGAGCTGGCCTGGTGGTTCTTGCACCCTCACTCCCACCTGTGTCTGTGGCTTCCGGGGATGAGGCCTGAGACCACAGGTGCCTCTGCTGGTCTCTGGCACATGGGCCCAGGGGGCGGGTGGTGTCTCATCCAGCTCCTCTTAAAGGGAGCTTGGGGTCAGCAGGCCAGGGCCCACTGAACGCCCTGGGCAGTGGGGAGAGGTAGAGGCTGACACCTGGGATGCCTGCACCGCGGCCAGGCCCCTGGCAGATGTGAACACGGCAGGGAACACGGATGCAGATGGAATGGCCGGGGCCCTGCCTCTGGGAGAGGAGAGGGGGGCGGAGGATGGTGCCCAAGGCAGGGCAGGGGCCGTGGGTCAGTAAGGTGTGGGGTGCTGAGCCTGGGGTGGCCCCCAAGGGCCTGTGAAGGCTGTGTGGGGATGGGCACGGGCAGGGGCAGAAAGTGAGCTACAGCTGGGGGTCTCCTTCCCGCCTCGCATGCGGCCCTCCAGCCCTCTTCTCCTCTGCCCTCCCTGGGCCCACTGGGGCAGGAGGGGCGTCAGCTGGGGTTCCCACAGGGTCTTGTTTTACTGAACCTGGGAGAATGGTGCTTCTGCCAGGGCAGGCCCAGCAGGGGCTGTGGGGGTCCTGGCGGCTCAGAGGCGGGATGCGTCCTGGGCGGGAAGTGGGTCTGTGTGCACCCACGGTCGAGGTGTGTGTATCCGGGGGACTGCACGACAGCGTCAGGGTATGACGCCAGCTCTGGGTGGCAGCTGGGAAGCCCAGCCACATCTGCTGGATGTGTGCCCCCCACCCCCCACCTTGTTGCTAGGCCCTGGCCCCTCCCAGCACCTCCATTCCTGACCATGTTTTCACAGTGAGGGGTGGAGGGGAGGAAGGAGATGGGAAAGGAGAGGGCAGCACCTTCCCTGCCCGTTACCTTGATGCTCAGCCCCCACCTTGTGGTGGTGAGATGCCACTGCCCACCCCCAGTCTGCGTTTGCCTCGCAACACTCTCCAGGTGCCATCCCTGTATGTAGCCTGTGGCTCAGGGTGAGCACTGGGCTGGGGCTTCCTGGAGGAGGCGCTCACAGGGAGGGGGCTGAGGTTGGGTGTGGAGGGCCCTGCCCGGGAAGCTGGCTGCTCCTCCCCCATGCCCTCACTCTGGCCTCAGTTTCCCCCTGGCTGAGTGGCTTGGATGCCCTGTCCAGGTGGAATAGCAGGGCTTGTGTTTCCCAGGCTAAATATAGAGCTGTGGCAGCCGTGCTGGCGGCTGAAATTCCCAGGAATCTGGGGGGCCAGGCCTCCTGCTGGTGAGCCTGCTGGGGTCTCTGCAGAGGCAGGGGTTGGGGCTGGGGCCTGGCCTGGTATCGGGCAGGCTGCAGCGGGGCAGGGGCCGTGTGCTTCAGGGTGAGGCTGGCTCCAGCTGGGGGCCTCCGGCTGGGCTGCTGCCTGACCCCCTGGCTGCCTGCAGGCCAGCCCTGTCCCTCCTTCACAGTGACCAAGGGTGGCATCCCTGCCACCCAGTAGGTGCCCCCTACTCCTCAGGTTCTCCTGTCTGGGGGCGAGGAGGGCAAGAGGGTGAGGGGCTGGAGGTGACCCCCCCCATGGTCAGGCTGGGCTTTTCTCCACTGAGAAACTGAGGCAGGCTCCTTCAGGGGATGAGGGTGTCGGACCAGCCCTCCACGGTGTCCCCAGGATGCAGTGGGGACAAGCAGAGCCCAGCAGGGAGGGATGTTGTCCCTTGTGCAGGCACTGTCCTCCCTACGTGCCTTCCAGGCTGTTGCGTGTGTCTGTGTGCTTGTGCTTGTCCGTGTGTGAGCCTTGCGCCCAGGTGTCAGCCTGAGAGGCCCAGGGCCCGGGGCGGGCTCGGGGTAGGGGAGCCCTCTTTGTCCTGCAGCTTGGGAGGCCCCGTGAATGGTGGGATTGCAGGCGGTGACAGGTGGCGGACAGGGTCTGCCCGGGAATGAGACCAAGACTCGGGGAGCCTCAGGAGGCCCCGTGGCCCCTCCCTCTGGTGAACTGGGTGGGCGCCTGGGGGAGCCCTGCAGGTAAACGAGTTACCAGTGAGAAGCAGCTCTCAGCCCTTCCAGGGGAGCCAGCAAGGCTGGTGACGGGGGGCTGGCTGGGAGAGCAGAGCCCAGGGTGCCTGCCTAGGGGCTGTGTGGCCGGGCTGGCGCTGCCCAAGTAAAGGCAGGGTGTGGAGGGGAGGTCTCAGAGGGAAGGTGCCCCATGTCCCTGTGTCTCTCACAGCCCCGTCCCCTGGGGTCAGAGACTCGGCACGCGTCCCCATCTGGGGCCCCGGAGAAGCTGAGCCCTAGGCTGGCAGCTCCCTCCGTCCGAAGGGGGATGTCCCCCAGCCTGCCCTAGTGCCCCAGACAGAGGTCGTGGGGGCTTGTGCTCTGAGAGCTGCGTGGTGAGAACAGAAAGCCGCCCCCCATCTCTGGGGAACCCACAGGAGCACTTTGGGCCCTGGTTGCAAAGCGGCAGCAGACCCAGCTGGCAACAGTGTGTTGAAGAAACACCAGCTGGTTATTAAAAACACATGCTGCCCTCGGGCCCCGCAGCGACAGCATCCCGGAGCAGCCACCGCCTCGGCCCTCCTTGTGGCCAGGACGCGGTTTGCAGACCCTCGAGACGGGTGGCTGCAGTGAGGGGTTGATGTCTCTTTCGGCGGCTGTGGGTGGGGTCCCAGGAGCCAGGCCCCCGTGGCTGCCTCTCCTGATCTGAGGGATAGTAGGTGGGGTGACCTCGTGAGAACCCGGCACCACTCATGGTCATCCTATGGTCCAGGAACTGCAGACCAGTCCAGGCTCAGAGCCACGGGCGGGCGGGGCTGAGGGTCAGCCAGAAGATAGTTCCACTCCTTTCTGAGGCCTATAGTGTCCTTCCCAACCAGCCAGCCACCTGCTGCCCTCCAGGCCTGGTCATCCCCACTGTCCCTGCACTTGACCCCAGAAAAAATGAGGCTGGAAATGGGCTGGCAAGTGGGGCTGGGTTTCTTCCTGCTGGTGAAGGGCACCATGGCCTCAGCCCAGGCCTCGGGCTTCTCCCATGGGAGACAGTGGTCACCTAGGGCCAGTGTGCCTGGCTGCTTGGCCCCTGACCCCAGGGCTTTCGGGTCACTCTCCTCCACCTGGTGTGGCCTGGCTGGCAGCAGGGAGGCTCTCATCTGGGCAGACAGACCTGGGCAGAGGTAGCCCCCACACATAGGCACAGACGTGGGCCACCAGACACAGGCCGCCGGTGCCACACTAACCACACACCAGTGCAGTTACACGCATGTGCACACACAGGCGAACTGGGTGCCTGCAGAGAGGCAGTGAGGGGATGCCCTCGCTTGGCCGCTCGTGGGGGGCAGGCATCCTGGGTATTCTGGTTCCCGTGCGATGACACGCAGTGTGCCCTGGGTGAACACCGTCTGTGGTCTGGGAGGAGGATGGGTGTATATGGGTGGCCTCCTCGGTGGGGACTTGGCAGGGACAGCCTCTCCCCTGGGCTCCTGGTGCCCCCACCTGCCTTGGCCGCAACTCCTAGCCAGTCCCCTCCCCCGACCAAGCTCTCTGACTGCCCTCCAGGCCCCCCAAGGATGGCAGACAAGGTAGTCCCACGGCAGGTGGCCCGGCTGGGCCGCACCGTTCGGCTGCAGTGCCCTGTGGAGGGGGACCCGCCGCCACTGACCATGTGGACCAAGGATGGCCGGACGGTCCATGGCGGCTGGAGCCGCTTCCGAGTGCTGCCACAGGGGCTGAAGGTCAAGGAGGTGGAGCGGGAGGACGCCGGCGCCTACGTGTGCAAGGCCACCAATGGCTTCGGCAGCCTCAGCGTCAACTACACCCTCATCGTGATGGGTCAGTGCTGGCTGGGGCAGGACTGTGTGGTGCCCAATACACCCCACCCTCATCCTGCCCGAGCCCGGCCTCATCTGAGCCCAGGACACCACCCTTTGCGGGCCCCTCCTCGTCAGACTGCACCTCAGGGGTCCCCTTCCTCCTGGGCCCCTCCTCCCCAAAGGTTCTGCTGACCTGGCGGCCAGGGTGGCTGCAGGGGTGGATGTTGGGGGCCCCAGGTGGTGGTCCCACTGAAGGGCAGACCAGCGGGCCAGGCAGGCTGGCAGCCTTGATGTCGGCCATGACTTTGAGGGTCAGGTTTCGGAGTTCAGAGGAGCCGCTGGGAACGAAGGGCCTCTGTTCTCTGCCTCTGGGGTCTGGGCTTGGGGACTGGGCAGTGCCCCCAGCAACACACCCTCCACTTACTGGTACCAGGCACTGCGCCCAGCTTCCCCCGCCATGGGCTCTGGGTGGGTCCCTTGAGGCAGGCTCCCTGGCAGCACAAAGGAGGAGCCTGACCCGTGCCCCCCAACACTGGGTTCTTGGGTCGGGGCTCAAAGCCTGGCCTCGGCCTGGGCCGGTGGAGGTGGCGGCTGTCATGGGGAGGGGGCATTCCTCAGTGTGCCCCACCCCCTGGCCAGGCCCCACAGGCCTTCCCTGGCTTGTGGAATGGGAGTACTGTGGATGTCCACCCCCCCGCCACCGTCCTTTCAGAGGGGAGGATGACCAGGCGGTATGCGGGCCATGTCAGTTCACCAGGCCCTCGGCGCCTTGATGTGGGCTAGGGTTACTGCAGCTGCTGGCTGAGCTGGGCCCCCACCTCCCCCAGGCCCTGCAGACCCCTCGGAGCCAGGGTGGGAGAGCCAGCTCTCCATCCCACCACGCCTGTCGGGGTCACCTGCACCCAGGGAGTGGGCTGGTGGGTGGCTTTCGCCCAGCTGTCTCTGGATTCTGAGATGTGGGTGTGCGCCCACAGCCTCCTGCTGGCGTCTCTAGAGCTGCCCCAGCCGGGCCTGAGGCTGGGCCTGGGAACCAGCCCCGGGGCTGGGGTGGGGGCTGGGGAGCCATGCCTGGATCTTGGGGCTGCTGAGGCCCTTCTGACGCGCTTTCCACTCTGCAGATGACACCAGCCCAGGAAGGGAGAGTGCGGGGCATGAGGGCTCCCCTGGGGGCCAGGAAGACCCAGCCAGCAAACAGTGGGGTGAGCATGGGGGCAGATGTCACCACTTTCTTTCAGCCAGGTGGGGCCCCTGGTGCCCCCCTGACCTCTCTGCCTCCCCCGCAGCTCGGCCCCGCTTCACACAGCCCTCCAAGATGAGGCGCCGGGTGATTGCACGGCCCGTGGGCAGCTCCGTGCGGCTCAAGTGCGTCGCCAGCGGGCATCCACGGCCGGACATCATGTGGATGAAGGATGACCAGGCCTTGACGCGCCCCGAGGCTGGAGAGCACAGGAAGAAGTGGACGCTGAGCCTGAAGAACCTGCGTCCGGAAGACAGCGGCAAGTATACCTGCCGTGTGTCGAACCGCGCCGGTGCCATCAACGCCACCTACAAGGTGGACGTGATCCGTGAGTGCGGGGGCGGGGGTGGGGGCGCGGGTGGGCTGGCGCCTGGGGGCCGTGCCCAATGCGTGTCCCTGCGCAGAGCGGACACGCTCCAAGCCTGTCCTCACGGGCACACATCCGGTGAACACGACGGTGGACTTTGGGGGCACAACGTCCTTCCAGTGCAAAGTGCGCAGCGACGTGAAGCCGGTGATCCAGTGGCTGAAACGTGTGGAGTATGGAGCCGAGGGCCGCTATAACTCCACCATCGATGTGGGTGGCCAGAAGTTCGTGGTGCTGCCCACGGGCGACGTGTGGTCGCGGCCCGATGGCTCCTACCTCAACAAGCTGCTCATCACTCGCGCCCGCCAGGACGATGCGGGCATGTACATCTGCCTGGGCGCCAACACCATGGGCTACAGCTTCCGCAGCGCCTTCCTCACGGTGCTTCCTGGTGAGTGGGCCACACCCTTCCTGCCCCGCCCTGCCTTCGTCCTGAGCCACGCCCACATAGCCCTCCCGCCGGCACCCCCAACCGGATCCCTGGTGATGTTCCCCTCCCACCGCCTTCTCCTGCAGACCCAAAGCCGCCAGGGCCACCAGTGGCCCCCTCATCCTCGACCACTAGCCTCCCATGGCCGGTGGTCATTGGCATCCCAGCCGGCGCCGTTTTCATCCTGGGCACTGTGCTCCTGTGGCTCTGCCAGGCCAAGAAGAAGCCGTGTGCTCCCACGCCTGCCCCTCCCGTGCCGGGACACCGTGCTCCCATGACGGCTCGTGACCGCAGCGGGGACAAGGACCTGCCCGCCCCCACCACCCTCACCGCCACCTCTGGTGTGGGGCTTTGTGAGGACCTCGGGCCCCCGGCAGCCCCTCAGCATCTGCTGGGCCTGGGCTCAGCTGCTGGCCCCAAGCTTTACCCCAAACTCTACACTGACACGCTCACTCACACGCACTCACACACACACTCACATGTGGAGGGCAAGGTCCACCAGCATCAGCACATCCACTACCAGTGCTAGAGGGTGCAGCTTTCCGACGCCCGCCCACCAGAGCTCCGGGTGCCTGGGATGGGCTGGAGGGGGCCCAGGCTGGGGCGAGAGGGCCACTGAGGGAGATGGACCACAGGTGAGAGGTGCCCCGAGTGAGGCACACACACACACACAGACGCACATACATGCACGACATACCTCTGGACACACACACGGAGTCACACACACACACACACACACACACACACACAGTCACACACACACTCTCAGACTAAGCAGCCCTTGGGAAGGTCTGTGTTGTAATTTGCAGTGCGCATGTAGCAATGGGCTAGCTCATGAAGGAATCCCTTGGCCCCGTGGGAAGGATTTCATAGGGGCCATGATCACCCCCCAACCCCGGCCTGGCAGGAGATCTGAGAGGCACCCTGGCTTTGTGAACCAAACACTCCGACCCCTTCCCTACGCCTGCCCGCCTGTGTCCCTGCCCCGGCTATTTTTGCCACCACCTGTCCGGGTGTCCAGGAGTCCACCAGTACCCTGGGCAGGGGGGGTCACATGTAGCAGTCCAGGGCCCTGCCCAGAGAGGCTGGAGCCGGCTGGGGGTGGCTCCTGCCCCACCCGGCCTCCCACTGCCAGAGGGAAGGGGCCCTTGATATTTATATTTAAGAAATTGAGATAATATTAATAATGATGAGAGGAGGGTGTGGCCGCAGAGATTCGGCCTCTCCTGGGGCCCAGGGCCCGCCTAGCCCTGTGGCCACACTGATGTCCACCCGGGACCGGGCACCCATCACCCTACTCCCTGTGGTGGCCCCAGACCTCTGTAATTTTATATAGAGTTTGAGCTGAAGCTTCGTATATTTAATTTATTTTGTTAAACAAGAAAATGTGCATCCTTTCTCTCTAAGCTGGTGTGTCTGCGTGTGCATGCACGTGTACATGCGTATGTGCCTGTGACCAGACTGGGTTCCAGAATCGGGAGCAGAGGAGGCTCTCAGGAGCCCCATTGCCAGGGCTTAGGCTCCGAGGCTGAGACCTTGGGTCCCCAGGGCCCGCCATCAGGGCCCCCGAGCAGAAGGAGTCTTCCCCGTGCACCTGCACACCCTCCCACGCAGGCCAGAGTCCTGCACACCTGGCCCTGTGGGTGCCCCTCTACGGGCGTGGCCCCTGCAGCCCTCAGGCCTCCGCTTCTCCCCACCGCAACCTGGGGTTAACTGGGTGGCCTTAGTGGGGAGACGGGCAACGGCTGTATTGTTGCCTTTACCCAGGTGACCCAGTCTCTGTCCACCTAGGGCGGTACAACCGTGGTCTCAGTCTCCAGATGGGGAAACTGAGGCTCTGACCCCCTCGGCCAGCACGCAGGGGTTGGGCTTCCTCTGGTCCAGAGGTTCTGGAGCCTTTCAAGAAAAGCAGTAAGATAACGTGTGCGAATTTAGCAAAGCTCCTGCGTGACAGTGTCGGAAGGTCCAAGGGAGGGGTGAGGCCTTGCTGTGTCCTGAGCACTGCCCCAGCCACCGCAGCTTCTTTGCGCTTCAGGAAAGAAGCATGGGCTCCGCCTGACCGTCCCACCCAAGAACTGCTGGTCCCCAGGTTAGGGCTGAGTGTCTCCTCCACTCCCACAATGAGGTGCTGTCCCCCTCTGCCTCCGCTAGGCTCCCAGGGCTGGGTCCACTGTCCCCTCCACCACTAGGGCTCCCGTGAATGCATAATGGGGTCCCCTGTCCTCAACATCCCCGCATCCTCTGGCCTTCCAGGGTGGACTCCACTCCTGTTCCCAGGCAGGCAGGGGCTGGCCCTGAGGGAAGCCCCACTGGGGTGTCCTAACTCCATGGGCAGTGACCACGCTTAGAGCAGGGCCAGTGGCCTCCAGATGATGGAGGCCACTGACAGGGGACACCATGGGAGATCTGGACCCTGGCTGGCTGTGGAGAGCCCTTCTGCAGTGGCCTAGGGAGTGGTGCCTGTATCTGCATGTGTTTGTGTGTGTGTGTGCAAGCGTGTGGACGTGCATGTGTGCACGCCTGGATACCAAGGGGCTGCAGGCAGCCCACAGCTGGTGACTGAACAGATGTTCCCCAGACAAGACAGGCTGCAGCCCATGTCTGGTTGGGTTTCAGTTTGAGGGGGGAGGGGTGCAGAGAGGGGGAACCTCGAGTGGAGGGGAGGCCTCGGGCAGTGGGCCATCTTTAGGTCATAGGAGATGAACTGCTCCCTCCCCAGAGCACAGGCATAGGGGTGGGCACCCTTGAGGGTACAGTCCGCAAGAACCTCAAAGGGGACTCTGGGACTCCCAACCTTGTACCCTTCTTGGCCTGAGGTCCAGTGCTGTCCACATGGGCTCACGTGGGGACACTCATCCTCTGCCCCAGGGAAGTCTGTGGAGGGTTGATGACCTGCCCACCCCCAGGACCACTCTCTCAGCCGGACAGGCGTACAGGGCTGGGGATTGCAGTTCTGAGACCTGCGGCCCTGGGCCCACCCCCCAGCAGCATTTCAGGAGGGAGAGGTTCTGATGGGATGGTCATTCTACAGCTATAGTAGGGCCCTGGGCAGGGCAGGGGGACCCTGTGGAAGACAAGCAGACCTACCCTCGTCCGGCTGTCCCCACTCCCACCAGCCCTAGCCCCCATTACTGGCCCGCTACACCCTGGAGCTCAGAGACCTTAGCCAAGCCCCCTCCCACAGTACAGCTTCCTGCCCTGGGAGTATGGGGGTAGGAGGGCAACCTGGGAGGGTCTCAAAGGCTTCCTGGAGGGTGGACCATCTCCTCCCTGTTCCCCCTGCGGCTTCCAGACCCTTCTCCCCCAGCCTCCCAGTCTGCAGCAGCAGGCCCCCTCCTGCGTCTCCCTGGTCTGTCTCCAGCTGACACTTCCAAGACTCCTGTGTGATTTTAGTTCCCACTGGATGCCCCCCGACCTCAGCTCCTATCCCCACGACTGCAGGGTCCCCAAATTGCAGAGGGGCACACAGGCCATCCTGCCTCCTGCACCTGGGCTGGAAGTTCCCACCGCCCCCCTGTGGGGGCTGGGGCCGCAGGGCAGAAGGGTGTGTCCTCACCATGCTGCGCGTTGGCAGGGTGTCTAAAAGATGGGGCGCCCTGCACCCTAGCCTTGCAGGCCCGAGGCTCCCAGGGCCAGCCTCGCCGTGCGAAGTCTGCCTAGCAGACTGTTCACTGGCCTGCCAACTGATCAGCCCCTGTGCCCAACCCCCATCTGACCAGGCTTTCTGTCCCCCTGGTGCCCCGCCCCTTTGGGGGGCTCCCAGGCCACCCACAGAGGAAAGCCCACTCATGGAGGAGGCAGGGGCTTGAGGGTAGGGCCGAGGGGAGCCTGAGTGGGCGGGGCCAGGTGGCAGGAGGGGCCAGGTGGCAGGCGGGGCCAAGGGGAGGGTCCATGGGCGCAGAAGGGCCAGGGGGAGCCCAGAGGCCCACCAGGGAGGGGCACATGGTCAGGGCCACGACTCCTGGGCTCTGAGAGGCCAGGCCCCGGGCTTCCCATGCCCCTCCGTGGTTGCCCCTTCACAGACACCAAAGCCAGGCCCTGATGTGCCCTTGGCCACAGGCACAAAGACCAGTGAGCCGCCACCAATGCGATGGTGGCCCACCTACAGGAGCACAGCTGCCTCCAGGCCCCAGCTCTGGGGCTTCCCTCGTGAGGGGGGAGTGGGGCCTGGACCCTGTTCTGGGGGCTCTGGGTCCTGAGGTAGAGGAAGGGAATCAGCTGCGCTCTCGGAGTGACCCCAAGGCCAGGGTCTGAGGGCCATCTGGGGGAGGAGGCTCCCGATGTCCACAGTAGGGGAGCCTGGAGCTGGGTAAGGGGGGCGCTGGGAGGGTGGAGCCCCAGGTGCTGAGCCTGGCCAGCACCTCCCCTGATCCCTTCCTGGGCGCTGATAGCTGGTTCCCTTGAAGCTCGGCAAACTTGAAAGGGCAGCCCAGGCTCTGCCGCCCTCGGTGTGACTGCTCCCCTCTCACTCCCGCCTCTGCTGCCCAGCCCTGCTGGCTTCAAAGGGACAGCGACAGCCTTCTGCAGCTGTCCCAGAGCGGGGGGGCCTGCGGCTGATGTCCAGGGATCGGGCAGGGCCACAGAGCCCGAGGATGAGGGGGACATGGGACAGCCCCACCCCCACGGGCCTGGGTCGGGAGGGCCTGGAGGGAGACCAGAGCTTCGTCCTGGGACCAGGACTGGGGACCTGGTACAGGAACGCAGGATGTAGGACACAGGAAAGGGGACAGGCACATGGGACATGCAGTCGGGACTCAGGAGGGAGACACCCTACACAGCACAGATTCAACCTGGGACTCGGGGTCTGGGGTCGGGGACCTGCAGGCACTGGCCAGGCTGCAGAGGGCTTGCAGGGGCCTGGACCTGCCGCTGCAGAAGCTGGGGTGGGATGGAGGGGCTGGCACTGAGGGCCTGAGAGGCCAGCATCCCTAGCTGCCCTTGCCTGGACCCAGGGCACAGGCTGGGCTACACTGGGACCGGCGGGCTTGTGGGAGGGGCTGCTCGGGGTGGGCACAGGGATGAGGACTCCCCCAGGGCCAAGCCTGTGCGAGGTGTCAGGCCCCTGGGGTGGGCTGGGCTGGTCTGCAGGGAAGCAGCCCCCATGCCTGGCACCAGCACCTGGTGTGTCCCAGAGACCCTGCTGTGTCTGGTGGGCAGGGGCCAAGGCTGCTAATCAGGTGGAGGAGTGGGGCAGGGCTGGGCCTGGCAGCTGGGGGCTCCCTCCGTGCTCGGTGCTGACCACACCCGGTGCCCGTTCTCAGCTGCCCAGGCCTGGGGGGCCAGACAGTCACTGGGACAGGTTCGGGGGGACAGTGTGAAGGTCCATGCAGCCATCCCCCATCCTGTCGGCCCCGCCCAAGGCCTCCCCCACCTCCACGCCTGCCCCGCTGAGCTCTTTTCAGTCCTGCCTTGGGTCAGAGGCCTCCACAACCCTGACACCCCCACCGCAGGCACCCTGATCTCTGCACTGTCATTGTCCATGGAAGAGAGGCTCGGCCTCCCACCCAGGCCAGCACCCTTCAGTGACCCAAGGTGGGAGCCGGTCCAGGTCCCCCAGCCTGGGGACACAGGAGCACTGGAGGTAGGACCTGCCTCCCACTTGGGCTTCTCCTGTGGAGACCGCCCAGGGGGCGGCCCCTGGTGGAGCCCTGGGCCTGCCGCTTCCAACAGCTTTTTCTGGCTGTGCTGCCGGGGGTCACTTGGGGTCATGCCCAGTGGGCTCAAGAACCCACCCCCAGATGTTCCTCTGCTGGGCAGCAGCTGGCAGTGGCCTGGTGTGCCGTCCACCACAGGGCACTGCCCCCCGGGCCCAGGCCTCTCACACCCTCATCCTGGGCACCTCCGGGAGCTGGGGGCAGGGGCTCTGCCAGCACAGACTCTGCTCCAGCAGGGGGCCCTCGGCACCCGCCTGCTTCTTGAGGAGCGGGCTGGTTCCTTTTGGGGGATCTTGACTCTGGCGTTTGTCTGGGGTGACAAGGCAGAGTGTTCGGTTCAGGCCTGGTGGGGTCGCAGCCGGGTCCGGGGGCTGAGCACACACATTGCCTCCCCCGCCCCCCCATCCGGGCCCAGTGCTACCCTGGCCTTGCTCCCGCCTCTCTCCTGGGCCACAGGGATTGTCTCCATCCCCCCAGAGGCTGGGCTGAGTCTGGGAGGCTGAGCTGAGAGGCAGAAAGGCAGTTCTGAGGGACCCACCAGATGCCCCACGGCCCAGTCCTGGGGAGGGCGTGCGTGCCAGCCTGGCTGCACCGAGCACTCATTTACAGGGGGAGCTCAGGAAAGGCGAACTCAGGTCCGGACCAGATGTCCATTCTACATGGTGGCTGGACTGAGACACACACTTGATCCCAAGATGGGGCGGGGGGACTAATTAAGGGTCTGCAGCAGCCCAGGTAAGGGGCTGGGTGCG